AGCAAATAAGTTGTACAGTAATATATAATGTCTGCAGCATAGTGTTCAAGTTGGGTTTTAGCTACCAAAAAATAATTCATGCATGAATCGTAGTCAACATTTTGCAAAGACACTAACTGTGATGAAAAATCTTGAATTTTTGCAGAATCGTCCTTAAATTTTATCGCATTCACGTAGATAAATATTGATTTGAAATCTGATTTAGTGGGAAGATACAGTAAATCAATTTTACCTTGCAAACCACAACGTACAAGAACATCATTAAGAGTATTTTTAAGCTCGGTTGGAAATGTTTTTTTAGCCCAGACCAGAAGATCTAAGAATACGATGCAGAGATATAATAATATTCACATATTATTTTTTCAGTAGGATTAACTTTTATTGAACGATTGTTGATATTAATCCCCGCAAATTCATATTTTCTTATGACCTCGTCCAAATCTCGTTCTTTATATCGAACCTCAGTTTCATAAATATTTATCATAACATCATCAGTCGTTCCGAGAAGAATATTATTAAATTGTTTCATTATATTATGTTGTTCCACTTTTGATAGTATAAAATTCTAATCGTAACCTCCCATATTATATCCAAATTCAAAATCAGGTTTAAAATTTTTGCAAAATTCAACAGAAGTGAAATTTCCGAATCACATATTATAAAATGAAAATTAGAAGAAGGGCAATCAGAATATTTAGAAAAAAATAGCTGTTGATTGATTGGTAAAGTTGTAATGCAGTAACATTGGAATGGAGTTTGTTCAAAGATTTAATAGAAACCCATCTGAATCGTGTACACGTAAGATGTAGGTTCATGACCGACAGGAAAAAAACCAGGGCCTCGAGTGTCTGATGATTCGATATCCCAAGATAACAATAATAAATGAGGTAATGATACACGTTCTTTAACTTTTTCTATATCTGATAGGGTTAATTGCATATTATTAATTTAATTTTTGTTGTTTTTGAGTTTATACTAGCTGACAAGTTCAAAATCATTTTCATGAGCAATCTTTCGATAATAACATAAAAGATCATCCGAATAAATGTCATATAACTCCCACTAATCATCTTTTTCGATATTATTGTTATTATTGTCAAAAATAAATTTTAACTTGGCGTCAGTCTTATATTTTATCTTTTTCAGAGCATTTTGTCATTCTGTATGATTCAAAAAATATATACGCATGAAATCAAACTTTGCACCAAAATCAAATGGCTGAACAGATTTAAGTATTTCATAATGGCTAGGAAATATTTTTTTATCTGCCAAATCATTGATATAAAATATAAAATTATGTGTGCCATCGAGTTTGATATCAAAAAATGGATAACCGACATCGAAATTGAGATTCAACTTGATGCCATTTTCATGAACAGCATTGATCGATAATATGTATTTTTTTTGTTTTGTAAACGAATCTGTCGTGTTGTAGATAAAAAAATATGATGAATCTGATTGGATAATAGAGTGTTAACGTGTGATATTCATTTTTTAATAAATTATTGGAATAGCTTGAATATGAGACACACAAATAAATTTTTAGTTGGTGCAAGATGCACTAACTAAATAAATACAGCTGTAAAAGAATAAAAAAAAAAATAAAGAATAAAAAAAAATAAAGATTTATCGATTTAAAACAAAAAAAAATATTAATTAAAATGAGATTTTAAAATATTATTATATTCGTTTTTATCACATTCAGTTGATATTTTAATATGATTAGGATAGAGTCTGTCGATATGCTGCTCGTAGAAATCACGAATTTTGTAAAGATATTCGCTATCAACTTTCTCGTAAATGTGCCTCTGTTGGAATCGTATCTTTTGACGATCAAGCATCGTTTCCTTTTCACAGTTAAGATAAAAGATTTTTTCAACATTTTTAATAGGGGAGATACTGTTATGCACTTCTTTAAAATATTCTAAGAAGTCACGATCAGTGATATTGGCAAGGGTGAAAATTTCTGTGTCAAGATGTGTACGATCAAGAATTATATAGTCGTAATCGGACAATCTGTTGATTTCTTTTACTTTTTTCTTATAGTAATTAAGAATAATATATTGAAAAAATGTAGCATTTTTTTCAATATCCTTATAAAAGAGTTTAAGCTCACACTTAATATCAAGAGATGCTTCAACATATTGAAGAACCGTAAATTTTTGTGATCGAAGATATTCAGCTAATTTATCTGAACATGTGGTTTTGCCAACGGCTATTGGACCAGTAAAAATAATGATCTTTGGCTGTTCTGTTTTAGATTTCTTGTTGACAACTTGGATTTGTTCTGGATATTTACGTTTTAACCGTCGCAATGTTTCTTGTTCAATTTTTCTTCCGTATTCAGATTCAAACTCTTTTTCAACTTGAAGATTTGTTGTGTCATAATCATTTTGAAAACGAGAACATTCTTTTTGTGATGAGAAAGAGTCAGATTTTTTATATTTATTATTATGTAAATTATTTTTTAATTTTTTAATATCGAATTCTAAATTTGCAAAGTAATTTACAATTTTCTTGTTCATGGTTAAAAAAAGAGGTAGATACGTAATTAGAAAACTATTCGGTCAAAATAAATTTGACTGAATAGTTAATAAGGATTATAGCGTTTCCTAATTACAATTTTTTTAATATATACATTCTGACTTCTAACTTCATTATAAACAAAATTATCAGCCGAAAATCAAAAAGTTCTAACTGAGGTTGATAAAAATCTTCTTTACAACATTCTTTTTTAATAATGTTGCAAATTTCGGTTTCATTACAAATTTTAATAAATTGTTCAGACAAAGAAATCCATTTGTTCACCTTATGTGTAACAAAATTTTTAGTTTTCATCTTTTTCTCATTATATACAATGAATCCAATTGGATTGGAGTAACGAGAAATTGACGATTCAAAATCTTTCACAATATTGACTGTAATTGGTGATTCAACATTTTTGCATTGAATCAAAATAGTATGTTTCTTGTAAGTAGCGATAATATCAATACCACCATCACCCTGATTTACTTTTATTTCATTGGCTAAAATCATATTTGATTTGAGCAATTTTCGAACTGCACCTTCAAATTCATGCCCGGATCTGTAATTAGAGATCTGAGATGAATAAAATAATATTAGCAAAAGATTCTTGTTCACCAATGTTTGCAGAAGACCCGAGTTCTTTCAGTTTCTCCCAAGTTAATAGAAATATTCATCATCATCTAACTAATAGAGATGAATTCATAAATATTTCCTAATTCAGTATGGCAGTATAACTTCAGAATCTCATGTATGCTAAGTAAAATGACGTGCATCTTACTTTTTTTTCTGGTGTTTCGAGGATAATATTAGTAGTTATCATAATTATGTAATTAAAATTCTATTCTATACTATTGTACGGAATAGATTAGATTAGATTTTATTGAACAACATAACTGTTAAGATTTCCGGTCATTTTATCGTGAGCTAGTTTAAAATCTATAGCAAGCTGATTCGCTTGTTCGTATGTTCGTTTCTTATTAATATAAAACTGTTTTATTTTATGCTTTTTATTTTTATTATATTGAAAATTCCAACCTTTCATTATTTTATCATAATGAATTCCATTATATCCAAACAAATTATTTTTAGATAATTTACAATTTAACCTATTTTCTCTTGAAGTTGTTTCTCGAAGATTACACTTACTATTATCAAGCCCGTTGCGGTTGATATGATCTACTAATTTCCAATTTGGAATAATCATTTTATGGAACTCCTTCTTTGTTTGTTTTATATGTGTAAAAATATAATAAATATTTCACTGTTTATGAGAATGCCATGTGTGATTTTGAATCAAATTAAAATTATTTAGATCAGTTAAAAATGTTAAATCTGAGTTTGATGCTTTGACCTCTAGATAGAGTTTGAAGTCAATCTTGATAAGACGATAATTATTCAATTTTCATCTTGAGTTATTAGGATTTTTATATTTTTCCCAAGATGTAACAATTTCAAAATTTTTGAATTTTTCTTACCAGTTAGAAGATATTTACACAAATAAAAGTCTGTTTGGTATGTTGACATACAGAACAGAAAATTAAATAAATTTATTAAAAAAAATAAAATAAATAATGAATTAATGAATTAATGATTCTAAAAAAATTATGCTTCAGAAGAAGAGGTGTCGATTGGAGATGTATTGTCGATCCCGTTTAGAACAACAGGTTCAGGTGATTTTACTTTATCAGAAATTTCTTCAGAAGGAGAAATTTTATGTTTTTTTCGATTAATGTTTCTAAATTTTTTGTTTATAATTTCGATTATAGATGGAAGAAAGAGAGATAGAGTGTCAGTTAATTTATATTTAGAAAGTTCATTCAGATCTACAAAAATCCATTTATCATATTTATCAGGCTCAGTTCGAATCGGAATCTGTTCATCAATATAGATATAATATACGGTACATCGACATAGACATTCTTTTCTATCCGGAAAAACTCTAAACTTTTCATTTGTTCTAACATAAAACAATTCTTGAATTGTTATTCTGGTTTCTTCTTTCATTTCACGTATCACATATTCATCATATGTTTCATCTCTTTCTTTTTTCCCAGTTGGCACATAATAATATTCAAAATAATCTTTATTAGGATTAATTCTTTTGCTGATAGGGATTTGCTTTTTTGAAGTTATTGGAACAATTAAAGAAAATTCTCAGCTATCGATTTCATAAGATGTAATCATTTCTTTATATTTTTTTTTAAATTTGATTGAATAACAAGTTGAGTTTCGATTGCATTTTTTGTTTCTTTAACAGGAATGTCATATTTTTCCACTAAGGTAAGATAAGATAAAGTTACAAGATATTTTTCTTCAAGATCGCAAGTAAGCGAATAATTGCTAAGAAGTAATTTGTATTCCGATTCCATTTTTTACAAAAAAAAGATGAACAGAAAATTTTCTGTTCAGTATATTTATACTAAACAGAATTAAAAATAATAATATACAAAAAAAAATAAAAATAATTAAAATATTTAAATAATAAATTCATTGTCACTATCATCCATTTGCAATTCATTGTTAGACCAAAAGATATTTTTGTTTCCTACTGTTCCAGATTGAGATGTAATATATTTTGCAGAATATTTTTTAATTACATCGTCAAAAATTCTTTTGTTTTTAAGAGATTTTTGAGATTCTTCAGTTATTATTGTTATTGAAGATAATGTTGTGAATTCGTTAGATTCGGAATCAAAATCATCATCGTCGATAGATTTTTTACAGCATTTGCAAAAATTTATCTTTCGAAAATGATTACAGTATGAACAATAATATAGAACAGGTGCAAAAGTTGATCTGATATACAGACATGTATCAGAATAATATATCCGATTTTTGATATGTAAACTTTTAAGAATTAAGATGTGTTTATTTTTTATTGAGATTTGTGTTGTGAAGAAATTATATTGATATTGTGGATGTTTTATATAGTAAAGATTGTTTCGAATTTGCTTCATTTTGTTTTTATATAGTTAAATTTCTGATTGGTACAGATGTACTAATCAGAATG